GAAGCAGACTCCCTGCTGAGCAGGGAGCCCGATGCGGGACTCGATCCCAGGACTCCAGGATCATGACCTGAGCCGAAGGCAGTCGCCCAACCAACTAAGCCACCCAGGCGCCCCGAGAGATAATATTAAAATACAAAAGGCAAGAGGCACTTGCAGATCTTCTGGTCACAGAAGTCAATCTTCTCCGTTGCTACCATCCCCCCACTACTGCAAAAGTCTCTCTCCATGCACCCCCCCATAATACTCTTTTTTACAAATAGAGTTTCTCCTTACTATATAAAAAAAAATAAGTAGAAATAAGGTGAATCAATCTCCCCAAAAGTAAAAACGTCATATAAAAACATGTGCAATAGGAGAAAGAGATGGTCAAAAAAAAATAATTAAAAAAAAAAAAAAGGAGAAAGAGATGGTCAAAGATCGAATGTTTTCTCCAGAAAGTGAGAACTGAGAGAACTATCAAAGAAATAATATAAGATACATTCCCAAGGAGTCCATCAAGCACCCAGGAAAATGAAAGAATAAAGACCACACTACCTTGCTTCATCATGAAATATCAAACCACTATAGAGAAAGAAAGCATTTTGATTCCAAAGCTTTTGGAAAGAAGAGGGGATAGATACAAAAGATTAAGAAAAACAATAGTATCAAATTCTCAGTGGTAATCTTAGAAGATGGAGCAGTGGCTTCATTATTTTTTTTTTAAGATTCCATTTATTTGTTTATTTGAGAGAGAGAGAGAGCATGTGAGCAGGGGAAGGGGCAGAGGGGGAGGCAGAGGGGAAGAAACTCCAGAAGACTCCATGCTGAGTGTGGAGACCAATGCAGGGCTCGATCCCACAACCCTGAGATCATGACCTGAGCCGAAATCAAGAGTCAGGCGCTTAACCGAATGAATGACCCAGGCGCCCCTTGGCTTCACAATTCTGAAGAAAAATGAGTTTCAACCCAGAAAGCTCTACCCAGCCAAGCAATGTGCTGGCAGAATACAAGGAGTTTGAGACTCAAAAAATACTATCTCTTATATCTCCTTTCTCATGAAGCTACTGGAGAACGTGTGCCGCCAAAAGAGGATGTAAACCAAGAAAGAACATGGGACACAGGAAATAAAGAGATTCAGTGCAGGAGAGAGTTAAAAATTTCTAGGATCACAGTTGTGTAGCAGGCTTAATAAGCCTATCTATCTATTATAACAAGACAAAGGGCTCCAGGAAAAAAGCAGACGGACAGGTAATCTGACACATTTGGCAGAGTGGAAAATTGTATCAAAAGGTTGTGGGAAGAGTATAGGAAGATTCTGTGTAGTTTCTTTATACCTATTTTAGTGGGAGGAAAAATAGGACAATTATTTATATCTAGGAAAAAGAAAAGTCCTCTGAGAGGAAACATAATAATAGTATACTATTTGACTTAGCAGCAAACTATACCAGAATCATAATTATTTAAACATAGAGTACTGATTTAGGCAAGAATGATAATTAAATATGGGGGTATGGGTAAGGGGGAGGTAAAGCAAAATCAAGGTGCTATAAGAGAACTTAAATCTCACCCACCAGTCTTTAGATTAGTGAATCTAAATAAAACAGTGCTTAAGTATACATCTAACATTGAGAAATGTGATCATATTGAAAAAGGTGGAGTTACAGAATGAAAGAGACACCGGAAAGACCTGAAGGCGATCACCTCTGTGCAGTGGAAGGGGGAAAGGCCAAAGAACACCTTTTAAAAATATATACTTTGGGGAACTTGGCTGGCTCAGTTGGTGGTGCGTGTAACTCTTGATCCTGGGGTCATGAGTTCAAACCCCTTGTTGGGTATAGAGATTACTTTAAAAATTTTTTAATAAAATAAAAATAGGTACTTTAAAAACTGAGGTGAAATTCACATGACATAATCTTAACCATTCTAAAGTGAACAATTCAGTAGCATTTAAGTACAGTCACAAGGTCGTACAACCACCACCTCTATCTAGTTCCAAAACATTTCCATCCCCCAAAAGGAAACCCTGTACCCACTATGCATTAACAGTTCCCCTCCTTCTAGACCCTGGCAACCACCAATTAGCTTTCTGTCTCTATGAATTTACCTATCCTAGTGTTTCATATGAAAGGATTCATACAGTATGTGATCTTTTGTCAGGCTTTTTTCACTTACTAAGTTCTCAAGGTTCTTCCACATTGTATGATGAATCAGTACTTCATTTCTTTTTATGGCTGAATAATATTTCATTAAACACACAAACACACACAAATAATTTGTTTATTGATTCATCTGCTGATGGCCACCTGGGTTGTTTCCAACTTTTGGCTACTGTGAATAGTGCTGCTATGAACATACATATATACATATTTGAGAATCTTCTTTTGAATATGGGAGTGGAAATGCTGGGTCATGTGGTAATTCTAAATTAACTTCACCTATATATTTTATGGGTTTAACAAACCCAAACACCTATGGTCAACTGATCTTTAACAAGGTTGCCAAGACCATTCAATGGGAAAACAAT